AAGATGAAGATAGAGTTAGTTGCTTGTTTTTACTATTTGAGGTTTCAATATGACCATATTCATTGTCTATGTTCTGTGTTTATTTTCGATCTCTTTGTTTTGGAGCAAATTACCTTTTCTTTTGACCTCTATTATAGACTTTACTTCATTTTTGTTATTGGAAATGTTAACTCTGTTGATTTATTTTGTTAAATTTTGTTATCTCAGCACTTTTGCATTCTTTGTCGGTACCCTTGGACCCTGATTTTATGCATTTACTAAGCCAATATCATATTTCTATCACCTTGTCGAAATTCTATACAAGTGAAATAGGGATTTAGATTTGTAGCAAGATTTAGTTATTTGTCTTAGCTTCCTTTTATATTCCACAAGTAAGCCTACATTTATCTCCTATGTGTACAGATGGGCATTAGGTAGATTGGGCTGATCTGTTTATTCTTTCTGGCCGCCTTCCACCCGCACTCTGCTATTGCTTGGAAATCCAGACAATTTACTTTGACACCTTTCACTACGATTTCCCATTCAGCTTACAATTTCACGTTATCAGCCACTTCGAACAACATACTTCTCTGAACCTTGATTTAAATTGTTCTGAGTTGCTGCGTTTTCGAACTATTTGCCTACCTATTACTCCGTTCCTCTTACTGTTCGCCTACACTCTCTTTCATAGATAATTGTCTGCCATCCATTTTTTAAATCTTTTTTTCCTGATTTCTTTATCTTTCAACATCACACTAGGCACTTTTAGCGACTGCTGTCGCCTCGGGATTGGGCTCATTTGAGCCAGGCAGCGCCGTTGTCACCTCTGCCTTGGCAGACTTTGCTGGTACCGGACATCTTACGACCTGCGGCATCGATCCACAGACGGGACGTACCATCCGGCAACGACATACCCGAGTTCCTGCTGCTTACCAAGTAGCTCGGCGCGCTGGCCTAACCGGCCTTGTTCGACGATTTGGCCTCACGGCGGGCCAGTTTGCCGACAACTTGGCCGACCAGTACGCGCGCCACGAAGTCGATCAGTGCCCGATGCTTCCAAACGATGCTGCCGCTGATTTTTTTGGCTCTCAGTTTGAGACGTCGCATTCGGCTTTGGCTGCTGCCAGATACATGCTCGCCTTTGAAATTTCCCGTGAGCCGGTCGTCAGGCGGGCTGCCCGTCGCCTTGTCGCGTCGCAAGCCTCCATTCGTTTAACACCAACCGCTAAAGGAGTTCGGGACATTGACGAGAATCACCCTCTCTATTCAGTCAAATACTTACACGATAAGCCGGTTTCAGATTTAATGGCTGATCCTATCTTCTTACATATACACAATGTGAGTCACATTATCTCCTTTCTTGAGACCATCACTTCTCACATCTCCATATCATAATTGCTGTTAATGTGCATTTGGTACAATTATTAATGCAGCAATGTAAGTCGAAAGTTATTGCCCTTGGGCTCGGGAAGAGCTTTAGAACACGTCTTTCACTAGAACGATTTTTTTATTGAGTCCCCAATTTAGCTTCTGTGGGTTATAAGTAGTAAAGCATAGTCTCGAATAATCCTTCGATGAGTTATTGTTAGTCGAATTTTCATTCTGGATGAAAAGTTGATCCAAAGAGCTTTGGGAATTAACCTCATCGGAACCCGAAGGAGAAATGTCTTGGAGTGAAGATTGTTGGATTGTGGGAAGAAATTCTTGGTCCGTTGCCCTGCGACTCCGACGAGTCTGTGCTTAGCCTTCCTCTGTCACGTGACAAATATGTTCAGAAGTGAATACATTTGCAGCTGACCACCTTTTCTCTTAGTTAAATCAATTGGTTCTATTTTTTGTAAACTACGAGTTTCCCCTCTTATGATTCTTGTCACAAACAGACGAAAGCTCATCACGGATCCATCAGAGCCGCTGGACGGTGAGCCGAGGAGTTCCTAGCACAATCCAACAGTCTTCGCCCCAAGACAATCCTTCGGTTTTTTGTGGGACACCTTTATGAATTGCTTTCAATCAACTTTTTTTTAAAATGAAATGTCGAGTCAATATTATTTTTGTATTATTTTTTATTGCACAGCCTGTTTATTATTCTTCTTCCAATTGCTTGTTTACTTCTCTAACTGTCCAGGGTGTGCGAGCCAAACTTATAACCTTTGAGATTTATGTTCCGGAAACCAGGATTCGCGGATTCAGCTTACTTGAAGATTGGCAGCGTCTTTTCCATCGGGACGAATTTAGCGCTCTTGTACAGGCTTGGAATGATCAACGTAATCTGGTCCTCAAGCAAGCCATTGATGAGATGATCTTTCCCTTCCTCTTCAAGGAGCAGCAGCGCAAGCTGCTAGAATCTTCACAACAGAAAGTTGTTAAGGCAAGAATTTATTGCGTAGCGAGAGCTTTCGAGATTTTTCATTTTATTATTTAGTCTTATTATATCTAAAATAATAATGCATTATAGACCTTGACTGGTCTACCAAGCATGACGGCCTTTTTAAATGTTTAATAAAAGCTCCTTGTGTTTTACATTGCTTAGTTGCACCCAAGCAATTTGTCCAAAGATCCTTATATTCGATACCAAGTTTGTTTTTGCCATTGACATATTTTATTCCAGATAGTTTTCCAGTCAGTTATCCTCTTTTTCCTGTAGTCATTCATTTGGGAGTATAGATCTGAGGTGATGGCTATCTTTAGCATAGCCTATATCACTATAGCTAAACTAGTACTTCCAACGTAATGGGATATTTCAGGTAGAATATACATTAGAAATTCAACCATCCTGATACTTGTTATTCTTTCTCTTCTTTCTGCTCCTTAGTTTGTTTATATCACCTCACCATTAATTTTTGATCCTCTAGTTATGCGCCCAGAAACTATTCGACTTCCTCAAAGTCGCCCCTTTCTCTCCGGACGGCTATCGGGGTACTGGACAAGAGGGTGATCCTGATGACCCTTCTGGCTTGACAGGTGGAGGTTCTCCGAGTCACCATCGATGCATGGGCGGGGATTCATCTTTAGGCACGGGTGCTGGGAAACGCCAAGTAAGTGGAATGAGCGGGGCAGTATGGCCACGAGGCGCCAGAGTGCTCGCATTAGCCCTTAAGGATGCGGATGGCAATAGACAGGGCATGGTGAGTGCTGTGCAACTAGACGTTCATGGAGAGGTAGTAGACTTTATCCACCTGCATCATCTGCTTGCTGTTACTCGAGGCCGACCAGAGGCACAAGTTTCCAAGGCGAGTTGTCGATTTCGTTTATATCACCAAATGGCCCTCGCCCAAGAGCTTCTTTTTATTTACTATTGGTTACTTATTCTTATCTAATGCCATGGACTAGTTTTAAGATATTGAAATCTCATCAGTTGATATGTAAGTAACATATTTTATTAGTCTATGTTTTCAAATTGCTTTATCCTTAGCTTTTATACGACGTTCAAGTTGACACAGTCCACGAGACCTCTCTCGTTTCGGGTGAAAACCAATTTCTACCGAAATGACGTGGAATGTCATTCGCACTTATTATGATTTACTAGCTATTGAAAACAAGAGAATAAAAGTCGAACTATAAATAGTATAAGCACTTCTCTCACACCACACAGATGAATAACTCCTACTATAGCTATGCTGACTGCTAGCCAAATACTATTCTTACTATCCTAGTCTCTTTATGCATAACTTCTATGTTTAACTACAGTCATCCTTTTCGAATAATCTGCATGTCTCTGCATCATCATAATTCCATCCATAAATGAATTCACATATTTAAATGTTCACTCATCTTATTCCTACGTCATTCGTTTATGAACTTGAATAATTTTCGTTCTGCCCTAAATAATTGGCCTGACTTTGTCCCCCAAGCTTTGAGAAAAAGTATTTTTAAGTGGATATCAAGTTGAATAGTTTGGTATTGGACTAGTATACTAATTTAAAATGTAGATTATAGGTTCTATATTAAAAACGTTTATAAAAAACAATGAATTGTATTGATGTCCTTAGGTGTTGCTTTTTTGTGCATGCTTCGATTAACACAAGAATGCTACTTCGATGTTGGCGAGAGATAAGTCTTGGCAGAGAAAGAGGCTATTGTACCTAACAATGGTGTACAGAGGGAAGCAATGATACGAGTTGCTAGTATGATGTCCAATGAAATCAGAGTTATCTCATGCTACAGGGCTACTGGTGGAAGCTAAGCGCTGAAATAAAAAAGGGTGATCTAGAGAAACGCACCTTTTCCGGAGTCCATAGTATGCATGATAATTTCCAGAGTCGGATCGTGGACTCGGTACATTCCCAGACGTTTCGCCGGCATATTAGTCAGCTCCGTCAATGAGTCTTGCCATTCTCAGCACCAAACTACAATTCGTCAAAGCGAGAATTGAAGTCAAGCCCTTGATCAACCTTCTGGCGAAACTGTTGCGCCTTCACTCTCTCTCTTCTGGCCCCTTTGTTTCTTATTTTCTTGTCTCGCCCTGTAACTGAGTGGAATGGGTTAACTAGAAGGATAATAAACGAATCTATGGGTCAATGAGGGAGATTCGGTTTGGAGGCCTGAGTGGGATTGGCCGATCGAAAGAGAGGGAGGTGAACAGCACGTGTGATGACGCCACGGTAAACTCGCTAAAATGGCACATCTTTTGATGAGTGAAATTTAAACGAGTTAGAAGTTGTGATAGAGCAGGAGTCTGATATGAGGGTAGGGTGTAGATATAGGGGCCAGGGCAGAAAGAGGAGTGATAATACAATCGTTTCGGCAGAAAGTTGGTCAGTGGTTTGACTTCACTTGTCTCTGACGATTCATTGCTTAGTGTTTTGAATGGCAAGACTCAGCGACGATGCCGGCGAAACGTCTGTGAATGTACCCAAGTCCACAGTCCGCTTCTGGAAATTATCATGCATACTATAGACTCCAGACACGATGCGTTTCTTTAGATCTTTTGCCAATATGGTCAAGTTCTAAAAACAAGGTCAAACGATTACTATACATCGAAAGGAGGCTACCACTAAAATAGAGGCCACCACATCCTTTTCTTCGTATCTACGTTTGAAAAAGGGGAGTTACTGTTTTTGGCGGAGCGACGACGCTATGATATAATCCTCCTTTCGCTTGTTCAGACATTTAGGCCTTGAGCATAAGTCAAGCTAATTGATGAGTCGCACTTAATTAATGGTGTAACTTAGCGCTATTATTGAGGGAAAGTGTATTCAAATTGAAGTTTATGTCCTTTTGACAAACTGGGTCTGCTGTGTCTGCAGACGGTAGTCGGTAATACTAGTGATTTTATCCACAACAGTTTGATGTGAAGACAGATTACCCGGTTCTCTTGGATATAAGGAAGACGGACTCGCAGTAGTCTTCTACTCTACTACGACCCGGGTTTAACTTCTCCATTTTCTTATAGGCAAAATTTTTCCATACCAGGTCTCCGTAAAATAGCCCTTCCACTAACCATAATGATGATTGTGCTATCTTAATTTAGTCCTCTAGCTTCAGGCCATTGACAAAATACATTTCCATCTAAATTTATAAATGTCAGATAGTCTAGCCTAATGATTTAATTTAATTCTAATAAGGCTAGTCAAGTAGTATGCATACATTGTGTGTCAAAACATAAGATAAAGCATGTGATATCAGTATAAAGATTTATTAAAATTTATGGAAAGGAAGTAAACGCGTGTTTGAGTGTAGCGGGTTTTTACTCCGAAGGATTTGCACAATGTAGAGCATAGTGGACAATATTTCTAAATGTATCATAGATTTTCTTGATTGGAGGCATCAAAATGAACCTCTAAAATCGGCTAGTATAGCAGTTTAAGTTTAAAAATAAAAACTTAGAGGATAGGATATCTTACTTGCAAATACTAAATTATTCAATAAAATGGTAGATAGTGGTAATTTAGTATGTTTTTAATTCAAGAAAAAATGCCAACTTATGATAGAAATCCAGCCGAATTCGCTAAATTTTTAGCTTGTCTCATTTTGAAATAGTTTTCGTGGCCCTCTACGTTGACGCTGTCTCCCTTCGTCATTGTGACTCCTTTTGATTTGAGGGAGAATTTAGGAAAAGCGGAAAATCGAGATGGTATGCTAGATCCTCAATACTGGGACGCGTTTTTTAATTCGAAGTCGGCCCAGGCAAAGTTCTGCCATTACAGGCGCTGACTTAACTATACGTTTGTAGGAGGAATATATTTAGATTTCGACACTGCTTGACCGTGGTCTTCTTTATGCAGAGGTCCACCACGATTCAGATGAGATCGAATGGTTCTCAATAAGCAGCACACGATACAGTGCTTAAGAAGACACCACCAACCCCAGGAAGATAGACCCTTCAGGGAAACCGATGCAACTGTTTATTAGTTTCCTGGATGTTAAGTTTGTTGACTAGGCTTTTGATGCGGCTTTGTTTCTGCCGGATCAAATTACAGACTCAGGCCAAACTGGTGAGACTTGCGAATTCTGGACTAAGTTGCTTGTGTGTGCGTGTGTGTGTTTATGTGGTTATGTCGCGTCGCCTAGCGAGGCCAAACCGATGTAATGAGAAAAAGGAATTGAGCCAATATATAATCATTACTTCAGCTGCTCAAAATAACGACCTTTGGCCTACTTGGTGAGTAGGTGACTACATTTGCCAATTTCTACGTGAATATATGATAAGAAGAATTCAACCTCTCACCTCTGCATATGGGACGGATAGCACACTGCTCGGCGAAATATGTTTCCATGTTTCACCTTGACGAGTTGTTCTGTGCTAAGCATTGCTCTCCTCAGGGACCATGCACATTTTTTTAAGAATATACTACACTGTTATGGGCACATACTAACAATGGTTTACTTTCTACTGTCTCCGGCTGAAAACATTACCCAGTTGTCGAGCTACTGTCAGACCATATCTAATAGGAAAAAAGCTATGCATTCAATCAATGCTCAAGATTATATCCTTTAATGTGTCAATTTCCTATCCTCTGAACGTCTGTGGCTTTAGTTACGTACTTCATGCACATTTTTCGCATAAAATGCTCCAACTATCTATTCCATTTGAATTTTTTTGTAGGAAAAGGATTTGACCAATCTATCCAAGTTTATCACGAAACAGCGTCCACATG